GGCCTTGATTACAGTGTTTAATATGGGCATTTGAGGTATTCATACACACACTGTACCTCTCGATTCCACCAACTTGACGAGAGGGGAATGTTAAATGCAAATCTGTCTGTCTGTCTGTCTGTCTGTCTGTCTTTCTGTCCGTCTGTCTGTCTGTCTGTCTGCCTGTCTGCCCATATCTGTCTATCTGGCTATATGTCTGTTTGTTTGTCTGTCTTTCAATCTGCCCATGTTTGTCTGTCTGTCAATCTGCCCATGTTTGTATGTCTGTCTGGTTGTCTGCCCATCTGCCAGTGTTTGTCTGTCTATGATTCCTGCTTAGAGAAGCAGTCTAGTAACTGCAGGGTTGCTGGTTCGAATCCCAGGGTTAAAGGGGAACTTTGGCGGGAGTATGAGATGGCAACCAGAGAATTGCTAGCATCAGAATATCAAGTGCCATTGTGCCCTTCTGTCAAGTTAGTTGTTGATCATTGCTAGATCAATTTAAGTAAAATCTGTAACTAGGCCACTCAGGAACATTCAATGTTGTCTTGGTAAGCAACTCCAGTGTAGATTTGGCCTTGTGTTTTAGGTTATTGTCCTGCTGAAAGGTGAATTCGTCTCCCAGTGTCTGTTGGAAAGCAGACTGAACCAGGTTTTCCTCTATTATTTTGCCTGTGCTTATAGCTGTATCCGGTTTCTTTCTATCCTAAAAAAAACTCCCTAGTCCTTGCCGATGACAAGCATACCCATAACATGATGCAGCCACCACCATGGTTGAAAATATGAAGAGTGGTACTCAGTTGTGTTGGATTTGCCCAAAACATAACGCTTTGTATTCAGAACAAAAAGTACATTTCTTTGCCACATTTTTTACAGTATTACTTAAGTGCCTTGTTGCAAACAGATGCATGTTTTGGAATATTTTTTATTGTGTAAAGGCTTCCTTCTTTTTACTCTGTCATTTAGGTTAGTATTGTGGAGTAACTACAATGTTGTTGATCCATCTTCAGTTTTCTCATATCACAACCATTAAACTCTGTAAATGTTTTAAAATCACCATTTGCCTCATGGTGAAATCCCTAAGGAGTTTCCTTCTTCTCCGGCAACTGAGTTAGGAAAGACGCCTGTGTCTTTGTAGTGACTGGGTGTATTGATACACCATCCAAAGTGTAATTAATAGCTTCACCAAGCTCAAAGGAATATTCAGCATCTGCTTTTTTTTATTTTTACACATCTACCAATCGGTGCCCTTCTTTGCAAGGCATTGGCAAACCTCCCTTTGTGGTTGAATCTGTCCTTGAAATGCGTTACTCGATTGAGGGACCTTACAGATAATTGTATGTGTGGGGTACAGAGATGAGGTAGTCATTCAAAAATCATGTTAACCACTTTAATTGAACACAGAATGCATCCTGCAACTTATTATGCGATTTGTTATGTACATTCTTACACCTGAACTTATTTAGGCCTGCCATAACAAAGACATTGAATACTTATTGACTCAAGACATTTCAGCTTTACATTTTTGATTGTCACTGTGTTTTTGGGGACCTTCAATGCTGCAGAAATGTTTTGGTACCCTTCCCCAGATCTGTGCCTAGACACAATCCTGTCTCGGAGCTCTACGGACAATTCCTTCGACCTTATGGCTTGGTTTTTGCTCAGACATGCACTGTCAACTGTGGGACGTTATATAGACAGGTGTGTGCCTTCCCAAATCATGTCCAATCAATTTAATTTACCAGTGGACACCAATCAAGTTGTAGAAACATCTCAAGGATGATCAATCGAAACAGGATGCACCTGAGCTCAATTTCGAGTCTCATAGCAAAGGGTCTGAATACTTATGTAAATAAGGTATTTCTATTTTTAATTTTTTATAAATTAGCAAACATTTCTAAAAACCTGTTTTCACTTTGTCATTATGGGGTTTTGTGTAGACTGATGATTGGCTGCCCTCTAGGGTCAGAGTGAGGAACACCGTCATCATACTGCAAGCCACAAACATCCGTATAAGACCTATGGCTCTATCTACTGGTCAACTGCTGCACTGCAGAGGCCTCTTCAGCAAACGGCTGCTCTCTGACAGTAACGAGAGGCATTTATTAAGGACCAGGAAATGTTCCTGAGCAAAGATTGGCAACCTTGATCAAAGAGACAGACACAGACACTGTCTGGCAGAGATAGATGTGTAGCATGCTGTGAAGAATGCAGAAGACCCAATAACATTATTTACATCATATTCCTAATTACATATTTTCATATTGTGTGGAATGGACCATAGATGTGGAGTTCTGTGACCTGTTATGTAGGGTGGCAGGTAGCCTAGTTGTTAAGAGCATTGGGCCAGTAATTTAAAGGTCGCTGGTTCGAATCCCTAAAACCGACTAGGTGACAGATCAGTGAATATTCCCTTGAGCAAGGCACAACCCTAAATGCTCCAGGGTATGCCCCCATTATTAGCCCAATAAATACTATTTTGTTCAAAACCCCCAATTTCAACAGGCCCAGTAGGCTAAAGATGGCCCAGCCCATCTGGCATTTGCCAGAACTGCCCTATGGCCAGTCCGTCCCTGAATACAGTGCAGGGTTGCTACCTACAATATTATAATAACAAATACAATTACAATAAATAATTTTAAAAAACTACTGATAGGGTCCATGCATATCTGATAATGGATAGAATAGAATAGAATGTAGGTCCAATAATTCAGACATTTGTTTTATTCTAGAATAGAATACAATAGAAAAATACCCTGCAGAAAAAGAAAATAATCCTTACTGTAGTTGTAAGTGGAGACAAGCCTCCTCTATAGCATCGTCACGTGACTTTCCATAGCAACGGTGAAATTGTCATCAGTTCCGCTCGAGAAGAAGTGTAGCAAGTACAGTCAGCGTTTACCAAGCCGGGCATTCGAATAGGACAGTATTCTATCGTCTGGTTCTATATCTGCATGTATTTGAGCAAGGCAGACAGTCTTCCGACCCGGAGTGCTCCGTTTATTATAGAAAACTGCATCCTGAAATCATGAGTCACCTAAACCCAGGGTAGGTGCCATTCTTTGGATATTTTCTACAGGTTGTTGTACACTAGTGATGATAGGGGTTTTAGCGCGTCTAGTCTACAGACGCGAATGATAGGGTAGCTTACTTCTTGACAATTTTAAGACTTTATTATTCATGTTTAAAATATATATATTCATAGGCTATTCGACTCTTCGGGTTTGCTTAAAAAAAAGATTGGCCTTTTGAGTAAACAGGAAATATTAGTAGTGAATGGAGAGAGCGGGACGCGAACTCGGGTCACCGGGGTTAATGGCATAGCCTACACCTTACGCATGGCGCCAATAGGCTTAACTTAATTGGTGGGAATTGTAACGTGGCTCAAATACAATATAAAAGTTGTCAAGGACTTTATAGTTAATCATATTTTAGCAAATTCGGGGGGTAGCCCCACTGGAACTTAACCTTGGTCCAGCGACTGTCAACGCAACACCTTTGCCATTACGCCAAGAGATCCGAACCTCTTGACGAGATCGCAAGGTGTTGAGTTCAGGTCACTACATTACCCCTTCCTTCGGTAAAGCGTGTCACTACGCTTCTATATGCCAAGTCCCTCATGTGTACACGCCTCTCCAATGGCCTCATGGCGGTCATCCCACTTATGACACCAATGTAGCGAATTCAGAGGGTAGCCCCAATCGGGATTTTAACCCTTGTCCAGTGAATGTCAACACATTACCTTAGCCATTACACCAAGAGATCCGAACATCTTGACAAAATCACTAGGTGTTGGGTTAAAGGGATAGTTTACCCAAATTACATATTCATTTCCTTACCCTATAAGCAGTCTATGGACAAGGTATGACAGCAATCCTTGCTTTGGTTTTGTTTACCTGGCCACTGTTTCAAATGCTAACGTTTTAGCATTTGTGGCACAAAGTCAATGGAAACAATATAAGCATTTTCACGCTACACTTTCAAATCATCTCTAAGTAACTTCATTGAGTTACAAAATATGCAAGTCAATGGGAACAATATTAGCATTTTCGCACTTCATGTCCAAATCATCCTAAAGTATCAAAAAAATATATTTAGGAAATTATTTTGTTACTTAGAGATGATTTGGACGTGAAGCGTGAAAATGCTTATATTGTTTCCATTGACTTGCATTGGATTTGTGACACTAATGTTTACAAAAAAGATGTGGCCAGATAAACAAAACCAAAGCAAGGATTGCTGTCGTACTTTGTCCATAGACTGCTTACAGGGTAAGGAAACCAATATGTCATTTTGTAATTTGGGTGAACTATCCCTTTAAGGTCGCTACAATATTATTATTATTATTAAAATCTTAGATTTTATCTAAATAATTTGGCCACTCAGAATATCTTTGTATAGGATGACAATGTATCCCCTGCTCTTGGGCATGCTCTGGTGACCCTATTCAGATGAGAAATCCGTACTGAAGGTATTTAGAGCAGGAGAGAAAGACGGGGGGCACAAAAGGGCGATTGGGTTAAGTGCGCTATCCATCCCTTAATTCCTAAGGTAATCAGACACCGGAAATAGAGCCGATAGTTGTGGGGATACTGTTGTTCCACTGACAAACGCTCTAGGAAATCAAATCTGTGTTGGAAAGAGCTAGGCAGAATTGAAGTTGAACATATCCGAAGGTAGACCTGACACCATGATAGCCTAGTTAATTACAAAAACATGGATTTTTGTTTTTTTTGTTTTTAATGGTGCAGGTGACTCATTGACATTTAGGCTAGATGTTGTAATGATGAAATTAAGCATAATTGTTACTTTCAGAGGTGATGCAGACTGGTGAACCACTATAATCCATTAGACAGGTATTCTCAATCCATAATACAACCCACTATAAAGGAGAACAGACAAAATCAATTAAGTTACTGATACATGGCATATTAGGCACATTAAATGGATACAGTTCGTATGATGTTTTCACACAAAAAATAAATAGCCTTTCTGTCATAATGTAATATTCTCTCTTTAGACTACTTTCAGCCTACAATAGTCTGACAGACAAACACCTTACTGGATACTTCAACAACACCCGGATCAGGAGACATCTCCAGAGAGTTGGCCTGGTACGTCAAGAACACCAGTGGTTAACGCACATCAGCAACATTCCCCTCAAAGTTGGTATTAGTTGATGATGATGTAGCTTTGGTCAAGAGCGTTACGGGTGGCTTGAAGGGTCAAGCCACACGTAATCCCTTGGACCAGAGCTAATGATGATGATGGTGATTAAGCAATAAGGCACAAGATACAGTCCTAGCTAAATTCATTCTTGAGAAATTGCACTTGCTAAGAAGCTATTTTAGTTTATTTTTGACAATTTTAATTGAAAACAATCAAAGTAAGGTACTTAATTGTTACCCAGAAATGATTTGATATCGAGATAAAAACGGCTGCATTGGACCTTTAAAGCAAGTTTCCTGCAATTCTACACATTTTGCTTTGGGACGGAGAGAAGAAAATGCAGTTACAGCTAATTTCATGCAATTCTACTAATTTTGCCATGGAGTGGAGATAATATTTTGTAGTTTTAAAGCTAATTTCCTGCAATTCTACACATTTAGCTGACATGGCAAATTGGAGTGACTACATTTTACATTTTAGTCATTTAGCAGACACTCTTATCCAGAGCGACTTACAGTTAGTGAGTGCATACATTTTTCATACTGGCCCCCCGTGGGAAACAAACCCACAACCCTGGCGTTGCAAGCGCCATGCTCTACCAACTGAGCTACACGGGGCCAAACATAACAAGCTAAAAACGGTGACTGACGTAACAAGAGAAAAACTGCTGATGCACAAACACATTTCGAAATTGCATCAGGTTTATTCTACTATTCTTATTCTCAATAGTAAGTTGAGACCGCGACTGAGTTCCTAAGATATATATAAAAATGAAAGAGCAAGTGAAAGCTATGAAAGCTATGATCCCTTATTGATGTCACTTGTTAAATCCACTTCAATCAGTGTAGATGAAGGGGAGGAGACAGGTTAAAGAAGGATTTTTAAGCCTTGAGACAATTGAGACATTGATTGTGTATGTGTGCCATTCAGAGGGTGAATGGGAAAGTTAAAAGATTTAAGTGCCTTTGAATGGGGTATGGTAGTAGGTGCCAGGCACACCGGTTTGTGTCAAGAATTGCAACGCTGCTGGGTTTTTCATGCTCAACAGTTTCCAGTGTGTATCAAGAATAGGACACCCAGCCAACTTGACACAACTGTGGGAAGCATTGGAGTCAATGTGGTCGACACCTTGTAGAGTCCATGCCCCGATGACGAATTGAGGCTGTTCTGAGGGCAAAGGGGGGGACGGACGGACGGACGGACGACAACGACTCAATATTAGGAAGGTGTTCTTAATGTTTTGTGAACTCAGTGTATCTTTGTTTTGGTCGGGCTATGTCGCTTATGCCTGGAACTAGCCATGTACAGCATGTCCATGATAAGAATGTTGATGCATGATTTCGACTGGTTCAGAAAAAGTTGTCTCATTTGGGCACGTTCACTCTATGTATGGTACTACACAGATCGAAATTCAAAAGTGAAACATTGTTTCCGAAGTTGGACAGGCAGACAGCAAGTCTTACAGTGCCTTGCAAAAGTATTCATCCCCCTTGGCGTTTTTCCATTTTTTTTGCATTACAACCTGTCATTTAAATGGATTTTTATTTGGATTTCATGTAATGGACATACACAAAATAGTCCAAATTGGTGAATTGAAATGAAAAAAAAAACTTGTTTCAAAAAATTCTAAAGAATAAATAATGGAAAAGTGGTGCGTGCATATGTATTCACCCCCTTTGCTATGAAGCCTCTAAATAAGATGTGGTGCAACCAATTACCTTCAGAAGTCACATAATTAGTTAAATAAAGTCCACCTGTGTGCAATCTAAGTGTCACATGATCTGTCACATGATCTCAGTATATATACACCTGTTCTGAAAGGCCTCAGAGTCTGCAACACCACTAAGCAAGGGGCACCACCAAGCAAGCGGCACCATGAAGACCAAGGAGCTCTCCAAACAGGTCAGGGACAAAGTTGTGGAGAAGTACAGATCAGGCTTTGGTTATTAAAAAATATCCACAACTTTGAACATCCCACGGAGAACCATTAAATCCATTATTAAAAAATTGAAAGAATATGGCACCACAACCTGCCAAGAGAGGGCCGCCCACCAAAACTCACGGACCAGGCAAGGAGGGCATTAATCAGAGGCAACAAAGAGACCAAAGATAACCCTGAAGGAGCTGCAAAGCTCCACAGCGGAGATAGGAGTATCTGTCCATAGGACCACTTTAAGCCGTACACTCCACAGAGCTGGGCTTTATGGAAGAGTGGCCAGAAAAAAGCCATTGCTTTAAGAAAAAAATAAGCAAACACGTTTGGTGTTCGCCAAAAGCCATGTGGGAGACTCCCCAAACATAAGGAAGAAGGTACTCTGGTCAGATGAGACTAAAATTGAGCTTTTTGACCATCAAGGAAAACGCTATGTCTGGCGCAAACCCAACACCTCTCAACAACCCGAGAACACCATCCCCACAGTGAAGCATGGTGGTGGCAGCATCATGCTGTGGGGATGTTTTTCATCGGCAGGGACTGGGAAACTGGTCAGAATTAAAGAAATGATGGATGGCGCTAAATACAGGGAAATTCTTGAGGGAAACCTGTTTCAGTCTTCCAGAGATTTGAGACTGGGACAGAGGTTCACCTTCCAGCAGGACAATGACCCTAAGCATACTGCTAAAGCAATACTCATGTGGTTTAAGGGGAAACATTGAAATGTCTTGGAAGGGCCTTGTCAAAGCCCAGACCTCAATCCAATTGAGAATCTGTGGTATGACAAAGATTGCTGTACACCAGCGGAACCCATCCAACTTGAAGGAGCTGGAGCAGTTTTGCCTTGAAGAATGGACAAAACTCCCAGTGGCTAGATGTGCCAAGCATATAGAGACATACCCCAAGAGACTTGCAGCTGTAATTGCTGCAAAAGGTGGCTCTACAAAGTATTGACAATGGGGGGGTGAATAGTTATGAACACTGAAGTTTTCTGTTTTTTTGTCTTATTTCTTGTTTGTTTCACAAAATAGGCATGTTGTGTAAATCAAATGATACAAACTCCCCCCAAAAATCAATTTTAATTCCAGGTTGTAAGGCAAGAAAATAGGAAAAATACCAAGGAGGGTGAACCAAACTAAAGGCTAGGCTGGAAGCAAGGGGAAATAATATGCGAGTTGAGATAGCAGGCATAGGTGTGTCTGTGACAGCCAATACAGCACGGCTTGGAACGCTGCTCGTCCAATCAGCATCCAGGATCCAAACAACCAGTTTTACAATGACGATTATGCCAGTGATGATGACAGAAGTGTATGGGAGACAAAATGATAAGATAGTAAAAATCTTATTTTGAGGACTGTCCTGGCTAATACTAACACTTCCTAACGTGATGTGTGATGTTCTATTAGATCACCAGGAGTGGGCGGATAGTCCCAGACAAAGAGTACAGACACAATGTGATGCAGAGAGCCCACCAGAGGCATGTGAGGGAATGCCTGGCCCAGGCCATCTTCCATAAGGTGCTGGACATGGAGGTGAGAGGGGGAGTAGGGTGAAGTTGCCCCTAGATGCTGACCTTGGGTCAATTTTGCATTCCCCACACTAGTATTTGTTTTTATATTTTATATATTTTTTAACCTTTATTTAACCAGGGAAAGCCCATTGAGACCCAGAGACTCCTTTTCAAGGGAGACCTGGCCAAGAAGGTAGCAACAATCAATACATTACAGAATTAAAACATACAACAATACAATAAAAAAACATGATCCAGCCTAAAAAAAGCATTTACACTCCTCTGTAACAGAGTCTCCCATAAAAATGTTACATTCTGGTTAAGGTTAGGATTGGGGGAGGGGAAGGCATTTCTGTTAAACATAACATATTTCTATCTGAACATTTAGTACATTGCGCCCTCCTGAACATGATCTTGTCCTAGAGACCATGATCCCACTGTTCTGATTGGTGGGTTCTTTCTGCCTCTGTGTGTAACGTAAACATTGTGCTCCTGTGTCCTTCTCATCCAGCGTCTCCATCAGATCGAGATCAAGAGGAAGTTGGAGGATTTTGCCCGGAGGGAGAGAGTGCATAAAATCAAGGTGTATCGTTTGGAGATTAATATTCTGTATAACCTGTGACTCCTTCATTTGAATTTATCGTATCAAACATAATCATATGCAAACCTATGTCTCTCATGTATTTTGGAGGGAGTCATGAGTAAAGGCATTATAACCATAGTCTTTGTCTTGGTGAAGGTGGAACGTTCCAAGAGGTACGAGGAGGAAGTAATCCATATCCTGTCTCCACGGCCGCCCACGGGCCCCAGGGTCTCCCACGCACAGCATTCTGGGCCAGAGGGGGAGCACTCTGAATCCTCTGAATCTGTGAGTGATGCCTCTGAAACCATAGCAATTAAAGCAAATGCACAACTGGGATCTCTAATAACGATTTTGATAATGATTGCTCAAGAGTCGCATTATTGTGACAAGGTAAATTCTTATTTACAATGACGGCCTACACCGGCCAAACCCGGACGACGCTGTGCGCCGACCTATGGGACTCCCAATCACGGCTGGTTGTGATACAGCCTGGAATCAAACCAGGGGGTCTGTAGTGACACCTCAAGCACTGAGATGCAGTGCCTTAGACCGCTGCGCCACTCGCGAGCCGGATAGTTGTGACAAAGGTTCGGAAAATAAGTATCAATGTTGGCGACTATGCTGTTTGTTTTTAAACTTGATCACGTTTGATGTTTTAAGAGTTATTGTTACAAGAGTTATACACATGTAGCAAATTGAGCTGTGTTTCAACCACACAGAGGCAGCCATTTGACAATCATGGAAAATGTATTTCATTGGTAGCTATAGGCTGATGGATTTGTGTGGAGCTGATTCATGGCCTGTGCATCCCAAATGGCACTCTATTCCCTATATAGTGTACCTGGTCAAAAGTAGTGCACTATATAGGGAATAGGGTGCCATTTAGGGTGCAGACATAGCCTGTGCGTGCTGAGATAGTTGCCAGGTTGGTGTTGACATTCTAGTCAGCAGGTCTGAAGAACACTTCTCTCATGTGTTTGCTCAATGTCTCGTTTAAGAGTGTATTCAACGTGAAGTGGTAGGATTACACAAGTTTATCTCACGCTTTTGAAATGTAAGATGTGGCAGGTCTTAATGGCTGAATCAACATATGTCGAGGGGTGAACGCCTGCCTGGGTTTTTCTGGCTTTGATCGTTGTATTTACTAGAAGTTAGACGTTGTCTCTTGACGAAATCGGAAAACATACGTATCACAAGCATGTTGGGGCTTGTTCAAATCTTACTATATAGTGTTGCCAAAAATACTTCAAATATAATTAAAAGCACTTGGTTAAACATACACTGAACAAAAATATAAATGCAACATGTAAAGTGTTGGTCCCATGTTTCATGAGCTGAAAAATAAAATCCTTTACATTTTCCATATGCACAAAAACCTTATTTCTCTCAATTTCTTTCTCACAAATGTGATACATCCCTGTAAGTGAGCATTTCTTTTTTGCCAAAATAATCCATCCACCTGACAGGTGTTGCATATCAAGAAGCTGATTAAACAGCATGATCATTACACATGTGCACCTTGTGCTGGGGACAATAAAAGGCCACTTTAAAATGTGCAGTTTTGTCACACAACACAATGCCACAGATGTCTCAAGTTTTTAGGGAGTGTGCAATTGGCATGCTGACTGCAGGAATGTCCACCAGAGCTGTTGCCAGATAATTTAATGTTAATTTCTCTAGCATAAGCTGCCTCCAACGTCGTTTTAGAGAATTTGGCAGTACGTCCAACCGGCCTCACAACCTCAGACCCTGTGTAACCACGCCAGCCCAGGACCTCCACATCCGGCTTATTCACCTGTGGGATTGTCTGAGGGGGGATGGGGGTGCTGATTCGTTTTTCTGTCTGGAATAATGCCCTTTTGTGGAGAAAAATCAATTCTGATTGGCTGGGCCTGGCTCCCCAGTGGGTGGGCTTGGCTGCCAAGTGGGTGGGACTTGGCTGCACCCCATCCATAGATTAGGGCCTAATGAATTTATTTAAATTGACTGATTTCCTTATATGAACTCTAACTCAGTAAAATCTTTGAAATTGTTGCATGTTGCATTTATATTTTTGTTCAGTATAGTTCATGTGTAGATAAGAGCATGTTTAAAATACTGAAACATTTACTATGATGAACATTAAATGTCCATCAGAAAATGAACATTTAAAAAAACATATTCTGCTTAGAATGCATGGTTGATGTGTGTGTGTGCTGCAGCCGGGCTCCTCCCGGCCCAACACGGCTCCAGGGAAGATGCAGAGGCCGGTGCGTCTGAAGCCCATCCATAGTAACAGCACCACAGCCTCCCACAGACACACCTCCCCCTACAGGCCCCATGACTCCTCCAACGAAACGGACCAGCCTTTCAACTGCATTGTGAGACCACCAACATCGACTGTATTATTTATAACACTATAGCGCTCACACACGCACGCACGCACACACACACAGACTTACGGGGCTAGCCACCAGTGGAGTCTTTAGTCCTTAGTCAGAATTCCATGCATGTTTTATTGCACTTGCTTGCCTTTGTATTCCTGGACCTGTATCCGGGCAACTTGTAATTGAAGCGTTATCACAGGAATTTTGTATTTTCTTTCCAGATGGACAGAGACTCCAGAAGACATTTGACCGCGACAGAGTTTTCCCGTGGTATATCCCCCTACCGTCTTCCAGTCATCAACAACTTTGTTACCCCAGTGCCACCTCCGACAAAGAGGAAAGAGAGGGGCGGTTTTAAGGGTACCCCCAACGGCACTTTCAGGGGACGGAGACTGCGCCCCACCACGGCCCCCAGTGGCCCCGGAATGACGGAGGTCTCTCTTTTCCTTTCTTTCTTCCTTCCTCCCTCTCTACCTCTTCAACCATAGCTCCCTCCCCCCTTCAGATCACACATGGTAGGGTGTCCACCCACTCTATAGTCTAGTGTGATCAAACGCACACTATTCTGTGGGGTGCAGGGTCGAAAAAAGTAGGTATAAAATAAATAGAGCCTGCACACTCATGAGCTCCACCATGTACCATTACTAATAAACAAACAGAGTGGGGGAAAACGTGCTTATGATATAAAATACATTTTATCAAGACAAATATGATTATTCATGTTCTGAATCATTCAGTGGGGTCTTTCTCTAACATATCATTAACATTATATGCAAAAAAAGTCAGATTTCATAACCTAATACATCCGATAATAATCACTGAGCTCTGTTGACATAGTGGTGCAGGCTTCTCGTAACAACTGTTGAGGATTTTACATTTTGTGGTCGTCGTCTTCAAAATCGTTTCCGCGGGTCGCAAAAAGCTAAAATAGCATGACACGAGCTGAATTAAATGTAAAAGTCTTTGAAAATAAAAAGCTTGGTATATGCTCAGTGCTCTGTTAACATTTCACAGAGATCCGCTTAATATTAAAAGCGTATACTACAATATGAAACTACTGCATGTCATGTCTCAAAATTGATATCTATCTTACCTCTATATTGTTTTATGTCCTGCGGATTCGAGAAGAAAGATGACGAGTGCAACGGGAAAGTGAGCCTGTCAGATAGACTTAATTGTTGCACAGAATCCAGCCTAGCTGACGCGATGCAATTTTCCAGATTTTTTACAACTCTTTTTCTCTGATAGAGACATGAGGTTTGGACCATTGGTTTTCTTAGAGGATTATCTACAGAATTAACATATAATTTTACCCATTGGTCAAAATATGAGTTTTTGATTGGACATTTTACACATGGGTTTTTTATTCCCTACAATAAACACACAGTTAACTGTTTTTATGCCACAACAAATCACACTTCTCTCAGATATACAATGTTCCTACACATTCAGTACAGGACCTGTTTGCACAGCTGTAATTTAAGTACAGTTTGATTACAAGGGCTCTTCAGATAGGCACAGTGACTGTTAAGTCAGTTGCCCACTGCTATCATACCCCATAGAAACCATTCAGGTTTTATGGTGCTTACTTACTGTAATATAATAATAATAAATGCAATTTAGCAGATGCTTTTATCCAGACTTACAGTCATGCGCATATACATTTTGAATGAATGGCCCCAGCGGGTACTTACTGACTTAATTCTTCCTTTGCAGTATTATAAAGGCCACAGGACAAACACATTGAAAACGAATCTGTTTTTGCTTCCAGGATTCTACTCCCCTGCGGACCTCTGTGCAGAGTAAAGTATGTGTGAGCATGGTGTTCTTTGGAAAGACGGTGCACCTGTCACATGACCTGATGGACATGAGGGATGAGGTGAAGGTGTTCCAGCAGCACTGTGGGGGAGAGAACCTGTGTGTGTACAAGGGCAGAGTCCAGGAAGGAGGTCAGTATGGGAACATGCAGGAAGGGAGGTCAGTGAGTGTGTGACAGACAGATTCAGGTCTATTCGGTCTTGCCCAATTAAAAAAATATATATATTTTAATAGCACTTCATTTTTTGCTGCTCTCAAACCATTTGCATACCGATTGCTTAAACATCCCATAAAATATGAAATACTACAATACAAATGATCTACTTTACCTCTATTTATTTTAGAGACGTTCCAGTTTGTGTCGCGGCGCCACCGTGGCTTCCCCTTCAGCCTGACATTCTTTCTCAACGGGCTGCAGGTGGAGCGCCTCAGCTCATGCTGTGAGTTCAAACACAGGAAGGGTTCCCGGCTAGGCGGCCGCCATGGACATTTTGGATTCTCCAGCACGGAGGGAGCCTCGCCCTGCTACAGGTAAGATACAGTAACAGCAGGATTTTAAAAGTATGTGTCACTATCTGTGAATGGAGTGGTCATGTCTAAGCAAAGATGTTATCCTGAGTGTTAGAAAATGTATATTCAATCCAAACTCTTTTTTAGCACCTCTTATCTGAATTTGTCAAGATTTTCAAACCAATAAAGCACCAATTATTATGACATCTCAGTGATACATGTTCAATGTCTGCAGTCTTATCAGGTGCACAAGGCTACAGTATGTGAGGTCCATTTTCATTTTCTAGGTGTATCATAGCCATGGGGTTAGACAAGAAGCCCACCCCTCCTCCAAAGAGAGTCAAAGAGGAAATCATAGTCACCAGCCCTCTAGACACTGGGAAGGACACTGCAGAGGTGGAGGAGGAGATGACTGGTAAAGACAGTCGCTCTCAACCAGAGCCTGAGACAACTCAGCCACAGGACATGGAAACAGAGATCAAAGAAGACATTCCACCAGAGGAGGACAAACCCAAAGATGGTACACTGAGCTACACAAATGGAGACCTGAGAGTTATATCAATATTATATTGATATTTCGGTAACACTTTACTGTAGCCGCCCTTACATGCATTTATAATGCCTTTATAACAGCTTCATGAAGACATAACATCCATCATAGGCAGTCATAAACATTATGAACAAGGCATAAGTTACTGATATTTTTGTGAAAATTATTAATAGATGCATAGTAGTTGCTCTGTCTACCTATCTATGGTACACGATTAAAATCATCTTAATAAGATAGTTAATCATGTTAAAAAGATAGTTATTATGCTATGGAGTCATAAGGCGCTGTTTGTTTTTCCCAACAGACTATGAAGAGGACTTTGAGGCAGACGACGAGGGGCAGGCTGAGGACGGAGAAGAGAAAGACAAGAAAAGTCCTCCTCCCTCCAGAGAAAGAGAGGGAGAGGATAGAGAGAAAGATGACCAGTCTGACAGTGAGGACGATGACAAAGATGGTTAGTTAATCATCTTGAATAATCTTGAATTATAATCAAAGTGAAATTAATAGAAGAGTATACACCCCAATCCAAATATAGCCCACTTTATCCATTCATCTCAATCCAAATATAGTCCACTTCATCCATTCATCGTAGATCTCAATCCAAATATATCCCACTTCATCCATTCATCGTAGAGCTCAATCCAAATATAGTCCACTTCATCCATTCATCGTAGATCTCAATCCAAATATATCCCACTTCATCCATTCATCGTAGAGCTCAATCCAAATATAGCCCACTTCATCCATTCATCGTAGAGCTCAATCCAAATATATCCCACTTCATCCATTCATTGTAGATCTTAGCTCTTCAAATGATTAATTTTCTATTCCTTTGTCTCCTGTTAACACTGTCGCCCTTGTAGAAGAGAGAAGGTCAAGGTCAGGCTCAAGCTCCTCAGGAAGTGACAGGGACGACAGTGAGGCTGAGCCCAAGGAGGACCAAGCAGTCAACCAGGCAGCTGACCTACCCAAAGACCCAGAGGAGGCTCCTCCCCAGGCTGAACAGGCAAAAGACACCCCCACCACCACCACCATAGCACCTGATCCAGACCAACCACCCACAGAGGATCCAACCACAGCCACAGAGAGCAGCTCTCCTACCCCACCCCAGACCACCTCGACTGGGGAGGAAGACACAGGGACCTTGGGGTACAGCCCTGGGGACAGTGCAGCGAGAACCACAGAGCTGGAGGTGTCAGACACCAGTGGGCTGTCAGAGAAGGAGGGGAAAGGGCATGACGATGATGGAAGTGCTGAGGCTAAGGAGGAAGACAAGGAGAGTGGGGCTAAGGTGGAGGATGAGTCTACACAGGAGGAGCCTGAGAGGGGTAAGTATGCACCGTCACATCCAGACTCGCCTGAGTGAGAGCTGTACCCCTCCCCTCTCTGGAGCCTTTTCCATAATCAGAGCTGTCAGTTTTGCTATATAATACATTAGTTGAGCTTTATATATTTCCATGTACACAGGCCTTTACATAAGTATCCATTGATTTAATTCTGATTATTGTGAGATAACAGGTCAGTTCGGATGGTGGAAAAGGTGATACTGTGTGTTGTTGGGGGAAACCATTTCCTGCTGCATTTTGGACCTGCCTGTCCTTTTCTCTTTCTCCTTTACACCTTGTAATAGTGATGAGAAATAAGATGGCTGTTGGAGCTAAGTGGGAACATGCTTTTTTGGTCTCATCTGTGTTTGTATTCAAATGCATGCCAGTGTTTTTAGACTTACATTTTTCTACACATTGTAATGTACAGATGTAGGATTTTAATTTGAGCCAGTTTGCTAGGGTAGGAAAATAATCCTTTAGCAACAGGAAATGTGAATTATTATGTGGATTATAATTCATGGACATTTTTGTAGTCTGAAATGTCAAAGTGGAAATTACGAACTTCAGAAGGCTATTTAAACCTCAAATACACTGGAAAGTTATCCTGCAACAGGGTGATCAAATTAAGATCCTACATCTGTAGAATGCCTCTGAGGATTTTGTATTACTTCACCATAGTTCTTCCTCAGAATTGGTTTAACAGATTTAACATTCTAAATGAACAACTTTGTACTGTTTACCTGACAAATTATGTCTGAAAATACTGAGCTGACGATTGTGAATGTCTGTTTTGGGTTTGCTCTCCTGTGTTCTTTGTTACGTTGATGTTATTTTGGCCAACAGAAAATCACTCAATGATTATACTGTGCTTTCTTGTTTGTTTGGGCCCATGAACTTTATCTCTGTATTGCTTTTTGCTTGTTTATTTAGCAGGGTAGCGTTTTTCGTCATGAATCTTGTTTTGGAGGCAGCTCTGCAGTGTGGTCACTAGCTGGCACGGCCACAAACTCATAAAATCAGATTTGAAACCTAACCTTAACCATAACTTTAACCACACTGCTAACCCTAATGCCTAAAACCCTAACCTTAAATTAAGACCAAAAAGCACATTTCTGTTTTCATGAATTTGTACAATATGGCCAATTTTGAAATCGCCAGATTCATAACAATAAACATCAACCTGCAATTATTTCATGCATGCTGAACATCTGAATGTGATTTCCATTATACTATTCGGCTTCAATTGGCTAGTGTAAATATTAAAATGAGTCTCTCTCTGAAATGAAGTTTCATTTTACTTTGTTCTGTCTAATGTCCAGTCATTGCTTTCAGTTAATTTTGTTTTAACGGCTCCTCATGATGTTCTATTTGTAAATTATTATATTGCTTATGTTTGTTGACATGTAAAGTGCATTCATTGCATGCTTCACATATCTGTCTCCTTCCCACGCCAAACCCAAGCCAAGTCTGTGCAGGAGAAACTAGCAGAGGCCATTTTGAGGGAGGCTCAGAGTCACTCAGAGCCAGAGCTGAGTGACACCAGCACTGAGACAGAGGAAGACCCCACTGAGAAAACCCAACAACAGGACACCATTGGTAAAAGCTCCAGTTATTTGTCATTAACGCCTGTGCATTATCTTTAGTGTGTGAGAAAATGTCATTGGTCACTCACCTACCGCCTATTTCTTCTGCAGGTCCAGAACCAGAGAAAGCCGTGGCTTTTACTCTGCAGCATCAGATCAGTACAGAGGAAGTGAAGTGTGAGGAAAGTTCAGTCAGTGCACAGGAAATGACCTCACAGAGTGCTGCCGAGGAACAAGAGGTCAGGACTGAGCTGAAGAAAGAGGAGGAAGATGGTGCACTGGAGTCTGAACATAACACTGAAGAGGCCAGTGGTGTGACAGAGGAGAAAGAGGAGGATCCAAAAGCCAGTCCAGAGACGGATGATGAAGAAGATACAGACAGCAAAGTAGAAACAGAGGGGAAAGAAGAGGGTGAAGAAACTGAGGACAACAAAGAAGAAGATGAGGCTGTGGAATTTCAGGTGGATGAGCCAGCTAAAGCAAGTGATTCTGTAACTAGTAAAGTAAAGCAGCAGGAAGAGAAAACCACAGTGGAGCCTGACATACCACCTAGTGAGCCAGACAAAGAGGAAGAGGAGATGAAAAGCACTAAAGATGATGAGTCATCTGCACCAGAAGAACCAGAGAGCAATAATGAGATAGAAACAGCTGTGACCGGTGAGGCAGGGACTGAGGTGGCAGAGAGGGAAGCAGTAGAGATGAAAGCAGAGCCCATAACGGATTCAGAGTCCCATAGCCATAAAGAGACGTCTATAACTGACAAAGACAGGCAGGGAGATGAGAAGGAGGACACGGTTGGAGGCACAGAGACAGAAGTCACAGCAGATAATTCAAGCAACGTGTCAGAGAAAAGTGGAGATACCACTGTCTGTGCTGAAAAGACAGCAGAGGGAGCTGAGAAGAGTGAGGATGCACCTGGAGAAACAGAAGACAAACCTGAGAGTGACACAGGGGAGGCTATGAAGGAAGACAGACCAGAAAAAGAAGCTGGTAAGGATGAAGTTGGAGGAGAAACTACTGCAGAGGATAAGGCAAGTGATAAGGTAGAAAATGATATTCCCCAAACTGAAGAAGGGGAAGTAAAGGATGGTGAAAAGATTGGAAATGTTAAGAAAGAAGAAAAGGAAGAGACTGAGGAAGAAAAGACTGGAGAAGCTAAGAGAGATGAAGAGAAAGTTAGTGAGGGTAAGGTAGACGAAAGTGAGAAAGATGGGGAGGATAACACAGAAGAGAGGACACAGGGTGGAGACAATACTGAGGGGAATAAGGCAGAGGGGGGAGAAAAAGATGACGACAAAAAGTCAGCAGAAGTAGAAGATAAGGTGGAGTGTGAAGAGGAGGTTGGACAGGCAGAAAAGGAAGACAATGATGGAGAAGAAATTGTCAAAGAAGAGGGCAAGCTAGAAAGTGGGGAAATGGTTGAAGAAAGTAAAGCAGCGAAAGTATCCGAGCATGAAACAGGAGAGAAAGAGGGAGAGGAAGTAGTTGATGATAATGTTGTGGATGCAGAGGAAGCCAGTGAACTTAAAGCAGGGGAAGGAGAAAACATGACAACAACTGAGGTCAAAGCTCAAGAGACTGAGATCAAAGACAATGTTCTAGAATCTGTAAGTGATGCGGACGAGAACGATGAATCTGATAAAGAGAGTGGCTCAGCTCCAATTGCTGGAGACAGCACTGCGGCCAGAGATGAGACCCTAGTCAGCAGGAAAGAAACAGAGAAAAAGGACAGTGAGGTAGATGCTGAGAATGGAGAGACAGCTGCAGCCTCTGAAGTTCAGAGTGACACCGCAAGAGAGGAGACAGAGTCCACAAACCAAGATACCCAAGGCAAAAACGATACAGGAGAGGACAAGGCTGATGAAAAGGACATGGAGGCAGAAACAAAGACAGATGACCTAAACAAGGTGGAGACAGAGGAAGATGCTAAAGACCAGGAAGAGGCAAATGACAAATGTGAAAATACCAAAGTAGATCAGGATGCAGACACAGAGGACAAAGAATCTAAGGCTGAGGAAGCTAACAGAGATAGCCATGCTGGTTCACATGTAGGAGACCCAGAGTCTGTTAACACTGGGGCTGAATCCAAAGAAGAGGCTATGTCAGAGAATGCTGAGAAGGTAACTAAGAATGTCAAGGAGATAGAGGAATCTGTAGAGTCTCAAGAGCAGTCTGAACGAAAAACTCAGTCAAAGGACGGAATTGGAGATGCTACACTTGAGAGTGAAGATAAGAACCCAGATACAAGCACAGAGAACTTGGATGATGGCAAAGAGAAAGTTAATGATGATACTACAGAGGTGATTGTTGTTTCTGAAGAGTCACAAGCTCAAGCTTCAGAACCCAGAGCTATGGAGTTAGAAGATACTACAGAGACTGAATCAGATCTGATGGAAATAGAACATAAAAGGGAAGACGAATCCACAGAAGGGGTAAGCAAGCCATCTGAAGAAGGAGCCAGCGTTGTGCTCAAACATCAGTCAGAAACACCACGAAAAGAAAGCAGTGCATCACGTAAAGAAGCGAATGTACTTGAGGAAAGTGTTAAAGCTGAGGACCATGATGTAACTCCAGAGACCTTGGAGAAAGAAGACAATAGGGATCTTGTAACTAACTGGGTGAACGTACATCAATCCTCAAAGTTCTTCGAGACATTTATAGAGCCCCTAGATGACTTTACTTCTGACAATGCTACCAGTGAGTCTAATTCGGATGCCAGGGCTATAGAGCCAACACACGTGACTGAACTTTCTAGACCAGAGAGACCTACTAAAACGGCAAAGACACCAGACCTGAAACCTGACGATCATGATGCCAATGCCTCAGAGAAGAGTGCAGCCGTTGGAGGCGGAGGTGACACCAGTGTTGAGAGTGTAGTTACAGAACTTAAAGAGGCAGCCCCATCAACAGAATATGAAAATGAGTCAAACAGTAATAAGGTGGAAGTGATCCAATCAGATCTCAGGAGTACTCACTCAAGAGACGATGAACCCAGTGAAACTGGGCCAACCAAAGACTCTCTCGAGGCGAAAGAAGAAACAGAAGTCACTCTCTTCACACTCTCTACTGAACTTGAACACAGCAGCAGAGAAGATACAGCTGGGCCACAGGAGGAGGGTCAGAGTTCTTCAGAGGATCTCAAAGGAACAACAGGGATGCCTGAGGATGACAAGGACAAAGGTACGACAATGCAGGGAGAAACTGATCTGACAGAAATGTCCAAAACTGACGTTGAAAGTATACAGGGCTCTAACCATTCAGCTGCCAGTGGCAGGCCTGGAAATATCAGTGAGAATCCAGCAGAGACTGAAGAAACCAAAGACAAGTCTGGGTTGGACGAGCAACAAACAACAATGGAAGAGATAACTGTCCTGACAATGCTTTCCAAAAATGGAGATGAAACACAGGAGCAGTCTGGGAGTCCAGAGAATCACTCTGAATCTGGCACAACATCAAGAGAACCAGAAGACACCAAAGATACAAAGGAACCGAAAGAGCAAGAGGCTGCAGAGGTTACAGAAATAACAGAGCTAAGAGTCATTTCTAAATCTGAGAATGAGAGCCAGGAAGACTCCCAAAGTGTACAGCTCCATTCTAAACAACTGGATGGAAGCAGGAGTGGAGACAAAGAAGATCTACAGCTGATTGACCAGCTGAGCACCTGCTCAGTGGAAGATTCTTCACTGTTTGGCCACACCTCGTACCCTCTGTTGACAACTGCACCGACTGACAGTAACTATTAGAAAGCAACAGACTGGCACAAGGGTAAGCTGCACATTTATTCAATTTCTAAATATCTGAGATAAGTTGATATCTGAAAAAGAAAGTAAGATAACACATAGGCCTATTATTTTGAATGACGTTTGCTCTATCTATATTATAAAGCACATGAGACAATCAGATGACTGCAGGATGACCTGGAAGGATATTCTTCGACATCACATTCTTTCCAGAGTTGCATTATCGTGAGATGATATTGCTGTAATGGTTCTCATGAGATGACACTGCTATAACAGTTGCTCCACAATTGTGAATACATGTTTGAGTTTACTAAGAGCTTTAATGATTTCCCCCTTTTTACCAACAAAGAAGTCTGGGTCATGAAAATGAGTGTCTTTTATAAAGGTTTTGATAGTAGCATAGATGTTTACAACCATCCCTTTTTGGGGACAAACAGTGAGGCCTTGTCTGTTGGAGGTATCAAGCACAGGTGCTGTCTCCAGCTCCCTGTAAACAGATACCCCTCAATTAACACTGCACAAATAAATAAATAATTCATAGTCGTTAAGCCATGTGCAGGTCAGCTTGCCCCAAAGCACCTTAACACACTTCGCAGGGTATGGTTGTGTTATGATTGGTTTGGAGAGAGAAAAATAAACACTCCCGGCCACCACTGATTTAAAGCACTACAACACTTTCGTGTCGATGACAGAGACCTTATTGGATTATAGTTTGGCACTGGAGAGGAAATACAGTTGGCTCTTTATACTGGATGTATAAGCTTAATTATACAGATAATGTTAGTTATTTATATACAGAAAGAAGATTTATGAGATAGATTTCCATATTTTACATTGTGATAACTTTCCAGAGATTTGTTTAACTTTATCTGTACTGTATATACGACCTGTTGTCACAAATTGTATCCCTGCATTTCCGTGCAATTTCACCAATTTCAATTCTAAGTAATTACATTTGAATTACATTCACCCAATTCATTTGAAAACATTGTATGTCATACATAAAACATACAATTAATGCCTACACAACTACACATTCAGTAATAAAAGTTGGAGAAATTGTAAAATGTCCTATGTAGGAAACTATTTGTGTCAAAATACGTTGCTGCTAACACATCTAATACCTGTACTTCTATTCTTCGATCATTTCTTTCTTCAGTTGCCATTCATTATGAATCCTGTATTTAATAATAAATAATAAGATGTTTATTGTCACAAACACCGAATAGGTGCAGTGACATTTGTTGTTTTACAGGGTCAGCCATAGTAGTACGGCACCCCTGGAGCAAATTAGGGTTAAGTGCCTTGCTCAAGGGCACAGCGACAGATTTTTCAACTTGTCGGCTCGGGTATTCAAACCAGCGCCCTTGCAGTTACTGGCCCAACGCTCTAACCACTAGGCTACCTGCCACCTAGTTTGGCATAGTTTGGTTAGGATTCTTCTTGTTTACGTATAAATTGTTTACGTATATATTATATCAATGTCAAATCATCTAGAATGAAACTCAATGTGATTTCACTATTTTATTGAAAATAAAAAACACAAATTGACTGAGCATTCTGAGGCTGAAATATGGTTTTACTGAATAGACTATGCAGGTGCTATACTATACTATTCTATTCTCAAAACCTCAAAAATGACTAAATATTTACAAGATATAAAAACCACATAAAATCTATTCAAACAGTTCAACACCATAAACAGAGAGAACTTAGTAGATAGCTTTAGGAATACACATAACGATATAGCTAATTCTTCTTTTAGCCAAAGTGAACACTCAATAGATAAACCAATATGTCTACAGTGAGGGAAAAAAGTATTTGATCCCCTGCTGATTTTGTACGTTTTCCCACTGACAAAGAAATGATCAGTCTATAATTTTAATGGTAGGGTTATTTGAACAGTGAGAGACAGAATAACAACAAAAACATCCAGAAAAACGCATGTCAAAAATGTTATAAATTGATTTGCATTTTAATGAGGGAAATAAGTATTTGACCCCCTCTCAATCAGAAAGATTTCTGGCTCCCAGGTGTCTTTCATACAGGTAACAAGCTGAGATTAGGAGCACTCCCCCCAGCAGGGGATCAAATACTTTTTTCCCTCACTGTATGTGATATACTTATAAATAAGGTTATGGCTTTGTGAACTACAGTAATAGTGCATATAGTAGAGCTGGAAGACTTCCTATTTTTGTTAGTTAGTGCTGTCTTCGAAGCTGCCGTTGATGCTGCAGTTGGAGTGGATGCGCATGGTGCTCATAGGTTCTGACATGTACCCAGAGGGAGAGAGGACACAGACGTCAGGGATTAGGGGTCACGGGTGACCACCAAAATCGAAAGCCAGTTCCCTTCCCAACACACACAAACACCAGCTGTACATTCTACCCAACTGGCTGTACTCCATTTCAAACAACAAAGTTCTATAATAAAGTAAAGGCTAGATAAGTATATTCATTACTATGCTTCTTACCATTTCGGTCAATAGGTGGAAACGGCATATTCCTCCTGAGTTCATCCAGAGATGGACCTTGGGAATCATGGCATCCTCGCTAAAAAATAAAAAATATATGAATTGTTATAAGGTTGTAATGTAATGCCCACTCTAGAATGCCCTTCTAGCCAATCAGAAACAAGTATTCAACAATGCCGTGGTAAAAATAATAAATAACCCCTACTACACCACTTACTTTAATGCTGAGTTGCGCTAAAGGTGAAACAGTGCCACTGGTTGCCCCAGGTGCATTTGTTATTGTTTTTGTTTCGTTTATCAAATGGAGGAGATGTGCATCCAGTGGCGTGGTAAAAAAAAAAATCTTAGTACATACTCTGCTGTTCTATCGTACGTGCAATGATGTGCAATGATGTCCGAGGAAAATAAAACAGTGTTCGTTGTTTGAAGTCTTTGTTGTTGTAATATCGCAAACGGACATGGCGGTTTCCAACTTTAAGGAACTTAAAACGACAATCTGCATCATAGGGTTGGGGCATATTTCGTATATGCTCCCCAATGAAAGATCAATTAGGTTGAGTTAGATGAGGCAGGTATAAAAACATCTCTGATGTCCTCTGATGAATCTAGCATGACCCCCTGTGTGACGGTAACATGACAGCCCAGGACCTAGTAACCACACTTTCTCACTTCCACATTGAGTATATACAAAATGTATGAAAGTTTTGATCTACTGCCAGGACATTTCTAACCCACAGACACTTCAGCAGTAGAGCATACATACACAAATCCAACTCCAGTTACAGTGTCCCTGGAGACCGTTGCCAGGCTCACTCCTCTCTATTCCCTTCTCTCTCCACACACAAACACACACACACACACACACACACACACACACACACACACACACACACACACACACACACACACACACACACAGGCTTACGGGGCTGGCCACCAGTGGAGTCTTTAGTCCTTAGACAGAATTCCATGCATGTTTTATTGCATTTGCTTGCCTTTGTTTTCCCTGACCCGTAACTGGGCAACTCCACCTCTAACTGTTGCAGTAAATTGTCTCTAGTGTTGTACACGTTACTGCTCAAACAAGGGGTCAAGGCGAGTGCTATAGCTACAACAAAGCCCAATTTGATCATTACAGGCCCAGACATGACGTCCATGGAATTCCTACTGGGACTGAACTTTACACTCAACTTGGTTAGGCCTAGCAATCAAGTTTATTTTGCACTGCATGTTTAGGAGACTATGATATCCTAGCCTGGTCCCAGATAAGTTTGTGCTGTGCAGTCAACACCTATGGTCATTATCAATGCCAGGCGACGACAGATCTAGGATCAAAATATTAATGCCCTACCTCTGAGTCCAGACAGCGTAGGCGTGGGCGTTGAGTGCGTACTCCAGCTTAAAGCGGGAGCGGAGGGCAGCCACGTGACTCTGACCAGAACTGCCCCTCGCCAGGCAGTCAGAGGAGCCCGAGGGGGACAGGGACCCGCTGCTGTTCAACCCGCTGCTGTTCAACTGTGGATCACACACACAAAAAAGCACACACAAATATGACATTATCACCAACAAGTATCATATCATATGGACAGACAGAAAGGAATCAGTGAACTTCTGAAAATGTAAACAGCATGCATCTATGTTTATTCCCCACTGATTTAGATTTGACTGTAGAAAGCTTTTTGTATGTTTGTGGATAGCCAAGCAGTAACTCCATACTTCAACATTGCATTGGTATTCTTCTAGTGTGGCCAGCACCTCAGAGAACTCAGGTCTATCCTGATTCAGAGGAGATGAAGCAACATTAAATCACCTCATAACATTAAACAACTCTCAACAGAACAAAGACACACACACACACACCTGTGCTCTCAGTCGGTCTATGTGGTCATTTGGATCTACCCACGCATGAATCAAAGGTGAACTCTGCTTCAAAAGCAGGCTTTAGATCTCCTACTTCACTGTAAGAGAACTAACACAGACCAGAGTAGAGGTACTCAATAATACATTACATTCACAGTGGCCATGATCTGTGTGCTGTTTTCATTGAACAAACCCATTACATTAAAAAAGTATCCAAATTGTGCTTCTTGGGAGTGGCTATTATTAAAATGCACAATATTCATCAACCTTATCAACATTTTAAACATGAAAGTCAAAAATAGACAACTGTGGAAACATATAACTGCTGGGACCATTTGTACATGGCGACCTAGAAAAATTGGTGCATGTTGATTCTGCCCCCAACTGGACCTTAAATGTAAGCACACGGTCTTTGGCACAGTTTCAGATTGGGTAAACTGGGACACTCAGGCCCTAACAAGAGATGGTAACTACGGTTGAGATCATGAGAGCAGAGCTGCTGATAACAGCACCACAGCACAACATTTCAGTCCAGAGAGACGGTTGTCTGGCAACCCAGTCCTGCAAACAGAAGAACCAGGACCCTGGACCCTGGAGATAAGAGATGAATGCCACAACCTGCCCACAACAGGTAATGAGGGGGTAATAAGCTATGCCACGTCTTGCGGCTTTGTCACAGCCTGGCTCTATGGGATGGCCATGCGGTTCATGAGTACCTGTAGATTGTGTGGCTGTGTGGAGTCATGCAACAACAGCACCTGGGGAATACGGTTCCATTAATTATAGGTTTCATGATACATTCTAAGCCCCTCTGCTAGCATCTGACCTCAGCATTGACTCTGGTTGAAACACCTCTACAGGTCTATACAAGTACAGTAAACTTAGCCCACATGAATTTAGCATACTTTAGCGCATGAATTTAGCATACTTAGCACATTAAATTAGTTCACACATGAACTTAGTATAGTTACAGGTAGCCTATAGGTTAGAGCATTGGGACAGTAACCAAAAGGTTCCTGGTTCAAACACCTGAGCTGACAAGGTGAGCAAGCCCTTGAGAAAAGTGCTTAACCCTGGTGGGGTTGGAAAGTAATAAAGGGAAATATATTTTTAAAAGGATATGTATGTGTATATATATATTTGCGCGAAAAAAAAAACAAATGGGGGATTGGAAGTGATGCAGACAATTACATTGATGGAAGTAACAATCTATCAGCAATATTAAAGCTGATCTACCCCCCCCCCCCCCCCACCCCCCAAAAAAGAAGCTCTTAACCCTAATTTGTTCCAGGTGTGCCGTACTACTATGGCTAACCCTGTAAAACAACACATTTCACTGCACCTATCTGGTGTATGTGACAATATATATTTGTTTAGCTCATATGAACATATCATACTTAGCACATGAACTAAGCTCACTTAAGTTTAGGTCATTTCACACTCTGAAATCAAGGGGCTATCTATTGTAAGAGGACAATAATCTCTGGACAGACGTTTCAGGCCCTCATTAGCATGGCAGAGATGGGTTTGGGGATAGAGTAGCCAATAGGAGGCCGGATGTGGTGCTGCAGCTGTGATGAGGAGAGGAAAAATCACATTCTAACTTAATTCCAACATATGGAACATGGTTGGAACAATTAAATACTTACTCATTGATTCATATTCTCCCAATACAGTATCAGATTAGTGTGTTTGTATTCATGCAGGGATTACCAGGTTTCAGGTGGGCAAAGGGAATCTCTCCGGTGAGCAGCTCCCACAGACACAGGGCATAGCTGAACATGTCTGCCTTGACAGTGTAGCAGGTACACTGAGTGAATATCTCTGGGGCCATCCAGCGCAGGTTCAATTACCAATGCAAAACACTCTGGCTACCAAGGTTCTTCAGCAAAGGCTTCACCCCAGGGAGCATAACACACACACACAACACACATAGCATCTGAGCTGAAAACCGCAGACCTAGCATTATCCCCAATGATGACACAGCAAATCTAGACCCATTCTGCCTGAGTGCAGTTTTCTCCAGGTCCTAATACACATTACGTAGTAATTTATAGTATGGTGAATAAGGAAGTTGGACTAGCCCCAGGCTGCTTGGTCATATTGTCCACAACCTCAGATAACAGGAACATGGATTCTGAAGAGAGAAAAAAAGGGTTCATGATCTTGATAATATCAATGACTAATTAACTATAGGAAATAGCTATTTTACTGTACTCTGTCTTCATTATACTATAAAAATGTAATGTAACTGCTTACCTCCAAAGTTAGCCACCCCGTCATGTCCATCCTCATTGAGTAGAATGTTGTGACTAGAAATGGCAAATATCATCATAAGCTGAATAACTCATAACAGTTCATTTCATATAGTCACAACAGAAGCTCACTACCAAAGCTACTAAATGTGACCCCCCCGCCCGTCCCCCCACCCCACCCCATACACAGTGATCCCCACCCTCCACATTGACCTGTTGTGGTCCCTGTGGATGATGGGCTGGGTGAGGTTGTGCAGGTACTCCATGCCCTTGGCCACATCGATGGCGATGATGAGCTTGGTCGATGATCCTGTCCATTGACACATCATTACACATCATTAGAGGAGCAACAGCAACACTTAGCAACACAGATCGATGCTCCCTGGCCCTGCCAATCAACTGATACCACTTTACACAGCAGTAGATCAATGAACCAGCTCATAGACTGTTAGACTTCATCTAGACGCATAGTAACACTTAGTATAGATCAATGATGGGAAAGACTGATGTAGAGACAGTACTAAGAAATGACACTTGAAACAGTTACTATGGAGGCAGACAGTAGTCATTGTGGAATTATAATGCATAGCCTACCTTTATCATGATACACACGTTTTCAGCCGGGCACTGTGAATGACTTTGTTTTTCATTGCTAGCACCATTTGTGGTACAGGTATCCCTTATTTTAAGGTATACATATTAGCCACTAATGAGACCTTTATTATGTCTTATTAGCCATATATTAGGCCTTAATTAAGTATTTTCTTATTCAAACATTAGAAGTCATGTATTACTGGCCAATCCTTAATAAAGTAATTAATAGCCATAAAAAATACATACTAATCTTTAATAAAGAGCCAGTTACACAAGAAACATACTCTGTAAATTGTTAAATAGGTTCTGTTGTGATACAGTTAGGAATGCAAGAGGAAGGAATAATGCCAGGGTCTGATTAACAAATCATAGGCCCTGGGGCTTTGTTTTTCTTTTATATGTCCCCGTGCCCCACCCCGCACAAGCCCCCCTCTTCCCGGCACACCATCATTTTCTGTAAAAGATCGTGCACCAAGAAGCAATTCGATGCATGGTCAATTTACTGTTGAAGAAAAAGCCTCTTTATAATGAAGCCATAATAACGTTTGCCATGTGGCATAGGCTACAGTTGAGCAGATGTGTTTTTAGGATTTCCACTAGTTTAATTTTTTTTGCAGGGTCCGAAATCAGCCTTTTAAAAACACATTTCATTTCATTTACATGACAGAAGACATTAGCTGAGTCTTTTTTAATACCACACAAATGACCGAAAGGAGTGGCTACTCTGACACTGACAAACTGAGATCAATCTGGTCTTGAATTCAAACAAACAATAGCCCAGGCCAAAGAAGCGACACACAGATTGTACAATATTAGGAGGCAATATATATACTGTATATATATATATATATATATATATATATATATGTATATATATATATATATATATATATATATATATATACAGTTGAAGTCGGAAGTTTACATACACTTAGGTTGGAGTCATTAAAACTTGTTTTTCAACCCCTCCACACATTTCTTGTGAACAAACTATAGTTTTGGCAAGTCGGTTAGGACATCTACTTTATGCATGACACAAGTAATTTTTCCAACAATTGTTTACAGACTGATTATTTCACTTATAATTCACTGTATCACAATTCCAGTGGGTCAGAAGTTTACATACACTAAATTGACTGTGCTGTTAAACAGCTTGGAAAATTCCAGAAAATGATGTCATGGCTTTAGAAGCTTCTGATAGGCTAATTGACATCATTTGAGTCAATTGGAGGTGTACCTGTGGATGTTTTTCAAGGCCTACCTTCAAACTCAGTGCCTCTTTGCTTGACATCATGGGAAAATCTAAAGAAATCAGCCAAGACCTCAGAAATTTTTTTGTAAACCTCCACAAGTCTGGTTCATCCTTGAGAGCAATTTCCAAATGCCTGAAGGTACCATGTGCCACGTGGGCAGAACTGAAAAAGCGTGTGCGAGCAAGGAGGCCTACAAACCTGACTCAGTTACACCAGCTCTGTCAGGAGGAATGGGCCAAAATTCACCCAACTTATTGTGCGAAGCTTGTAGAAGGCTACCCGAAACATTTGACCGAAGTTAAACAATTTAAAGGCAATGCTACCAAATACTAATTGAGTGTATGTAAACTTCTGACCCACTGGGAATGTGATGAAATAAATAAAAGCTTAAATAAATTATTGTCTCTACTATTATTCTGACATTTCACATTCTTAAAATAAAGTGGTGATCCTAACTGACCTAAGACAGGGAATTTTTACTCTGATTAAATGTCAAGAATTGTGAAAAACAGAGTTTAAATGTATTTGTCTAAGGTGTATGTAAACTTCCGACTTCAACTGTATATATATACACTACCAGTCAAAAGTTTGGACACACCTACTCATTCAAAGGTTTTTCTTTATTTTTACTATTTTCTACATTGTACAATAGTAGTGAAGACATCAAAACTATGAAATAACACATGTGGAATCATGTAGTATCCAAAAAAGTGTTAAACAAATAAAAATATATTTTATATTTGAGTTTCTTCAAAGTAGCCCCCTTTACTTGATGACAGCTCTCTTGGCATGATGCACACTCTTGGCATTCTCTCAACCAGCTTCATGAGGTCGTCACCTGGAATGCATTTCAATTAACGTGTGCCTTCTTAAAAGTTAATTTGTGGAATTGATTTCCTTCTTAATGCATTTGAGCCAATCAGTTGTGTTGTGACAAGGTAGAGGTGGTATACAGAAGACAGCCCTATTTGGTAAAAGACCAAGTCCATATTATGGCAAGAACAACTCAATAAGCAAAGAGAAATGACAGTCAATACGGATCATTTCAAGAACTTTGAAAGTTTCTTCAAGTGCAGTTGCAAAAACCATCAAGTACTATGATGAAACTGGCTCTCATGAGGACCGCCACAGGAAAGGAAGACCCAGAGTCACCTCTGCTGCAGAGGATAAGTTCATTAGAGTTACCAGCCTCAGAAATTGCAGCCCAGATAAATGCTTCACAGAGTTGAAGTAACAGACACATCTCAACATCAACTGTTCAGAGGAGACTGTGTGAATCAGGCCTTCATGGTCGAATTGCTGCAAAGAAACCACTACTAAAGGACATCAATAATAAGAAGAGACTTGCTTGGGCCAAGAAACACAAGCAATGGACATTAGACCGGTGGAAATTGTCCAAATTGGAGTCCAAATTGGAGATTTTTGGTTCCAACCGCCGTGCCTTTGTGAGACGCAGTGTGGGTGAATGGATGATCTCCACATGTGTAGTTCCCCCCGTGAAGCATGGAGGAGGAGGTGTTATGGTGTGTTGGTGCTTTGCTGGTGACGCTGTCTGTGATTTATTTAGAATTCAAGGCCCACTTAACCAGCATGGCTACCACAGCATTCTGCAGTGATACGCCATCCCATCTGGTTTGGGCTTAGTGGGACTATCATTTGTTTTTCAACAGGACAATGACCCAACACACCTCCAGGCTATGTAAGGGCTATTTGACCAAGAAGGAGAGTGATGGAGTGCTGACTCACCTAATGATGAAGATGAAGCCATAGGCTACTCACGGTGATGGCCGATGAGCTTGTCATGGCAATAGCCTATCTCAAGATGAGCTGCTTTGAAAAATAGTGCTACTGTTAGCTAAAAATTGGGAGTTGTTGAGATTTTTTTTTAAATATTGGCAGATTGGTCTTCTCTTTTCAGCAGTAGGCATTTACTTTCCAAATGATATGTTTTTCCCTTGATTGTATTTTGAAATCTACAAAAGTCAAACTGACAGCCGCAACCAACCATAGAAATACACTGCTCAAAAAAATAAAGGGAACACTAAAATAACACATCCTAGATCTGAATGAATTAAATAATCTTATTAAATACTTTTTTCTTTACATAGTTGAATGTGCTGACAACAAAATCACACAAAAATTGTCAATGGAAATCAAATTTATCAACCCATGGAGGTCTGGATTTGGAGTCACCCTCAAAATTAAAGTGGTGAACCACACTACAGGCTGATCCAACTTTGATGTAATGTCCTTAAAACAAGTCAAAATGAGGCTCAGTAGTGTGTGTGGCCTCCACGTGCCTGTATGACCTCCCTACAACGCCTGGTCATACTCCTGACCTGGACAGTCTGTGGTGCAACGTGGCGTTGGTGGATGGAGCGAGACATGATGTCCCAGATGTGCTCAATTGGATTCAGGTCTGGGGAACGGGCGGGCCAGTCCATAGCATCAATGCCTTCCTCTTGCAGGAACTGCTGACACACTCCAGCCACATGAGGTCTAGCATTGTCTTGCATTAGGAGGAACCCAGGGCCAACCGCACCAGCATATGGTCTCACAAGGGGTCTGAGGATCTCATCTCGGTACCTAATGGCAGTCAGGCTACCTCTAGCGAGCACATGGAGGGCTGTGCGGCCCCCCAAAGAAATGCCACCCCACACCATGACTGACCCACCGCCAAACCAGTCATGCTGGAGGATGTTGCAGGCAGCAGAACGTTCTCCACGGCGTCTCCAGACTCTGTCACGTCTGTCCCATGTGCTCAGTGTGAACCTGCTTTCATCTGTGAAGAGCACAGGGCGCAAGTGGCGAATTTGCCAATCTTGGTGTTCTCTGGCAAATGCCAAACGTCCTGCACGGTGTTGGGCTGTAAGCACAACCCCCACCTGTGGACGTCGGGCCCTCATACCACCCTCATGGAGTCTGTTTCTGACCGTTTGAGCAGACACATGCACATTTGTGGCCTGCTGGAGGTCATTTTGCAGGGCTCTGGCAGTGCTCCTCCTGCTCCTCCTTGCACAAATGCGGAGGTAGCAGTCCTGCTGCTGGGTTGTTGCCCTCCTACGGCCTCCTCCACGTCTCCTGATGTACTGGCCTGTCTCCTGGTAGCACCTCCATGCTCTGGACACTACGCTGACAGACACAGCAAACCTTCTTGCCACAGCTCGCATTGATGTGCCATCCTGGAAGAGCTGCACTACCTGAGCCACTTGTGTGGGTTGTAGACACCGTCTCATGCTACCACTAGAGTGAAAGCACCGCCAGCATTCAAAAGTGACCAAAAGATCAGCCAGGAAGCATAGGAACTGAGAAGTGGTCTGTGGTCACCACCTGCAAAATCAGTCCTTTATTGGGGGTGTCTTGCTAATTGCCTATAATTTCCACCTGTTGTCTATTCCATTTGCACAACAGCATGTGAAATGTATTGTCAATCAGTGTTGCTTCCTAAGTGGACAGTTTGATTTCACAGAAGTGTGATT